AGGTCTAAAGGCTTCTGGCTGCTGAAAGGTCTTACTGGAAAAGCATGAATGGGTACTTCATAACACCTCTTTCTGACATTGACCACTTTAGGACCTAAGAATGCTACAGCCATGGAGGCAGCCTTCCTTCAGCTCAAATGTTACTTATGACATTATCTCTTCCTTTTTCCAAGTTACTTATTTTCATCAAAACCATATGGACCCCAATCTTTAAGATGTCCTTCACTCTCCCCTGTCAAAATGTGGCTGAAACTAGCCAACAGTTTCTGAAATTTGAGGAAAACTAAGGACAGACACATGCACAAAGTGATGGTGCTTCCATTGGAAATCAGGCTGAAACACTTTCCACAATTAAAATATTATGCAGAAGGTATCACAGAGTCATCCTATGAAAAGAAAGAGCTCAAAATAGAGACTTGCATGGTTTTAAACTATGGTAATAGGTCAACTCAACAATGTCTGAAGAGCAAGGATGCCAGGAGGAGCAATAACAAAGCCTAACGTCTACAATAGAAGGCAGACAGAAAAGCAAAGGCAGAGGCAAAGACAAGTTACAGTAAGCAAAATAGTAATAATCACACCCTACTCGTGATCTTTTAACTGTTTTGAAATTGTCTTCTTGATACATGCTTTTGTGCAGGCAGTCAAGCTTTTGACATCAATTCCCCAAACCACACTGGATGCATGACAAAACTTTATGAACCATTTCTCACCTCTTCCATTTTTACAAAAACACTGGCTGCCGCCTACCTCACCCTTTGCTTTTGATGATGCCAGCATCACACTGGGAAAACAAGACAATGTTGTTCAAGGTTTCTTGGAAAAAATCTCCGTTGTTATTATTTGGCAGTTCCCTAAAAGCACTGCAATGAGGAAAAAGCGAACAATGAAACAAATGAGGAAAAAAGACTCCTCGTTTTTTTTGTTCACCCCCTTTGCTGCTCCTACTCTACTCTAAAAGTAGGCAAAATGGATCCAGATGGTCAAAGGATCATCTTAGTATGCAAAAGCATTCTTTTGCAAAGAGCTGTGGGGAAGTGGAATGGAGAAATCGACACTTAAGACGTTCACTGTGAACAGTTTGGATCTTACTGGGGAGGATTCCCTGTGCCCCTAAGAACTATGCCACAAGATATCAGGCAGGGAATCAGCTGAACAGTAGAGATCATCTGTTTGAAAGCAAAAAGGATAATCATAATTCTTAGGAGAGTTATCATTTAAAATGGGCCTTACAAGTTTTTTTCGCTGTCGAATTCCTCACAGCAGGGTAATTCAAGAGTACTGGGCTTAAACCACGACATCAAGCTATCACCACTACAAGTGACATAAAGAGTAGGGTTTATTAAACAGCCAATGGCAATCACCTATAAAAAGAACTGTTCATATAAACGTAAAAAATTGCTCCCAGATCCCTTTCTTCTGGCCTGTCCCTTTCAGCACTCAGATGCATGCTCTTTTCAGTAAAAGACTGGTCCCAACTCCAGCATCCAACTACATGGAATAATACTACAACTTCTGATTCCCCAGATCAGGACAGAAGGCGATAATGAAGCACAGAAAGGGATTTCTAGTGTGCAGGGAACAGTATATCCTCAGAGAGTAGACAGCTTTCAAGTACAAGCCCATACACTAGAACATACAAGAGATTAATAAGCAAAAAGCTTATTACCTAAATCAGAGGATACTCCTATTTACTGTTTCAATGGAGGGTAACATTTATGAAGTCTGATGCAAAAGTCAACTGTCTGCAAAGTGAATGTTTGTTCAAAATTTTCCTTTCCACCCATTTACCTGAAAATGGGAAATACACTGAATGAGAAAATAAACCACTGGTTCAAGGTCATGACACTACCTTTAAAAACTTCTTTTAAAAAGTCCAAATAAAACAGAGTGTTCCGTGCTACATCTATCCTCACCCAAAGACCTGCATTTTAATTTATAGCCATTTAAACTTTTTTTCCTCAAAATGAGTATAAGTATGTGGAGATACATTCTATGCTAAGCTTGTTTATCTCATTTTCTGTATGGCATGGGGTGTCATTTTCATTTTCTGCTTAGTTTCCCTCACAATGAACTAGCCCATGGAACTCCTTTAAAGCAATATCGTATTAACAAAGTTAGACAGTCAAACACAAGGCAGGAATAACCAGAGCTTCCTGTATTAATGCAAACTGTTTTGGAAGCACTAACAAATTTGTAATTTAGCCGTGAACATCAATCTCTGCTCACAGCTGGAGTAAAATGTTGGTGGCAGCAAAAGGGACTGCTGGAGCACTGTGGTTCTCCTCACATCTTCCGCTGAAGCATTTAGTATTGATTTTTACCAGAGCCAGAACTGCAAGACTAAGCAAGCCACAGGCCTGAGCTAATGTGGCAGTTCCTGTTCTGCCTGTAAAGTGGCTGAACGGAGATACCATCACATGGAGGATCAGGGGAATTAATGCTTTGGACACTACTGCAGGCGTTTTGCCTGCGGGCTCAGACAACAGGTTGCCAAGCTTTCTTAACAGCAAGAAAATACACATTCTCTTTTGCAGACAAATCCATTGTAACTCTGTAACCTTCTATCAGCTTTTCAGAGATAAAACTGTACAAAAGCAAGCTTAAGACCATGACGAACTTCAGTTTCTTGGTATGTAACATTATGGAAAGCAACTCAAAGTGCTGACCTTAGTGATGTTCCCTTTTTCCAAGTACAGGCGATAGTTTGTTATGACTATTTCACAGAATGTCAAACTATATGCTTACGCACTGGTGTGCATAACACACACTGGAAAGAAAAATGAGAGAGGATGAGACCCAGCTTGGAAAAAGAACCATCAATTTTCTTTTCAAATATAGCTGAACAGGAGAGTGGAGAGGGAACAGATTAACGATTAAGAATGCAAACTAGGACTTCGGTATAAAGTTATCATCATGTCCAGATGTTCGTTTTGCCTTTGACAGTTGTTGGAACTTTCACTTAAAAAATACGAGATACGCATCTAGTCTTTAGGCACCTACGTGCATTTAAAATGCCTGTGATATATTTAATAAACTGACCTTTATACATGCAGCACTCCAGTTCTCCTGCAAAATGAGGAAGATGGTGATGGGGTAATATAATATAAAAAAAAAAGTTTGCTTAAAGATCAAGTACATAATTTACTAATAGTACATAATAAGTATTAACAGATGCATCCAACAGTTATTCCAGCAACAAGCCAAGGTACTTCTTGTGACTACAGATTGTAATATTGCCCCAGACGATGATTGTAAATCCATGTGAAATTTGGGTGTATTAGATGTGTATGCCTGATATATCTTTATGTATATGGCATCTTTTAAAAGTTCATTACTATTGGAAGCTTTTTAAAAATAAAAGTCACTTAAAAATGGACTTCTTCCTCTGAAAGTATTATGTATATCTGATTACTATGCAGCCAAGTTGAAATACTCCCTCCATCTTCTATTCCAAAACAGATGGCAAATAATGAGCAAGTTGGCATATCCTCTGCTTATAGTATTTAGCTTGCGGTTAAGGACTTTCCAACTTTCTGGGTTAGCACCATCTCACTAGAAAACTGCTGTAGATCAAGGAGGACCAGCACAGCTGACGTAATTCAGTCTCAAACCAACCTTCCCATACTTAATAGCCTCTTGTGTCAGCATGCGCCCTAAACTGAAACATCTTGGATTGAATTTGGCTACAACCTAAGAGTACAAGGATCTGTTTAGCAGATGAGACTGGCAGGAACAGAGGAGCTTAATGTGGTCAGAGGTTCCGAAGGCAGTGAAAGAATTATGGCTGCTGATGTACCCAAGGTAGAAAGTGCATCAGCAGCCATACCCTGGTTCTACTACCCTAGATCCTGACAGTCCAGATGCTTGGATTCCTACTGTGCCACCACTCCAACAGGAGAGGAGACAAAGTGGCAAGGTTTTTCTTAAGGTTTCTGCAACCCTACTAAGACTGCAATAGTCCAAAGTAAACAGCTACCCTGAAAAAAACACACAAGTCTTAAGCAATTCAATTCACCACACTTCCTAATGAAATTGTATTCTATGACATATGTGATTACCAATTAATCATCCCTCATTTTAACATGTGACAGTAGGCCAGAGGCTTTTTCATTCCACATAAAAACACATCTGTAGTGGTGTAAAAGAAAATGGATTTGATGTTTTCCAGACTTGAAATTACTTTATACAAACAGCTTCTTCAAAATGCTAACCAATGGAGTCATACCTCCTTAAATGTGTATTGCTAACCTTGTTTATTTCTTAAAAAAAGAATAAAAATGACTGTGTCTCAAGTCAACTCATTAAAACACGCTACTTCCTTACATAGGTTAAGATAATTTCAAAAGTATCAAATATATGGTCCTCATTTATTCCAGTCTTCCTTAAATTTTCTTGTTAGATGAATGGCTATGGGATGATCAGCTCTCCTCCAGCCAGAGTGCCAACACGGCTTAGATTAAACTCTCTCCTTCAGCTAGCAGACTGATGCAAGTTCAGAATTACTAGTTTTGAATAAACATGAATGGCAAAGACTACAGAAGAATTTTCATTATCTTTTTTAAAACAACATACAGGAATAAAACAGAACCACAACTTTGGTTTACAAAGCATAGCTTTAATTATACAGATTGCTTCAATGAGTTTTCAAATATAATTTTAAAAAGTCACTAGTGTTTTAATACATGTGTTCTGAAATAACATTATAACACTTACTTTTGAAATACTTATTGCTAATGTTAGTATTTGTTGAGTTTTACCAAGCGTCAACTATTGAATATTTTTGTTTAATAACTAATTCATCATTAATATGCCATCTCTGGATGTTCTTTAGTGCATATACACTTTCAAAATGATGCAGGTATTACTCTGATTTACAGGTTAGGAAGACCTTAAGTATGTTTGCCAAACTCTAATGGGAGCCATGCTTAAATTACAGAAAGAAAAAGCAGCTAATCTACTGAAGTGGCATAAATAATTAGAAGATAATGACTCAGTCATGAAAGCTAACAAGTTTACATACTTTGAGCTTCAGTTTTAGTCTTGGTCTTGTAAAGAATGTGAAATACCAGAAAGCAAACAATTGCCTGGCCCACAGCATTCTGGTATAATCACAGTAATCTGGGGAATTCAAATATATCGTGAAGAATTTCATATGGAACAAATTCTGTTAAAGAAGATTCTTTAATGAAATTACATTTTTGACTCATGGAGTAGATGAAGTAATTTGGATGGAAGTCTTCAGGGCCAGTCAGGCGCCAAGTGGTTTTCTTCATATTGCTTCCCAATGCATACCTTAAGGAGTACCAAGGTAGTTTTATTGTCATACAAACTGAATTTTGGCTTTTTGCATGAATTATCAGCAAAGGCACCAACTTGGAGGTAATTTCTTACCATATGAAAACTGCTCAGTCATATAGCTGCTTTTGAGTAAGCCCATCAGCAGTCAGAAAGTGGCTTCCACTGACCCACATGACAGTGAACAAGTAGCAAGAATCTGGCATTCCATTAATAACTTCCCAGGCACTTGCTTTGTTAAGGGTCCTTTTCAAACCAGTCTTGCAATGTTTGTAGCTTTCTATACCACTGAAACCTGAGTTAGATACTCTTCTAGAGAGCAGGAATTTCTTTAGCAACTTTGTACAGACTCTAACGTGACTTCTAACGGCAGTATACACTTTGAAAATAGATTCAAATTGGTTTTCAATATATTTTTCACTTGGATTTTAGGTTTTCAGAATACGGAGTATCACTGATTTGCCATCACTATGAGATAGTTGACTTCTATGTAATTCTTGATGTGTCACTTAGCATATAGTATATTAGAAAAAAAATATGATTCATGAATGAAACAATTTCATTTTGAAAAGTTACTTTATGTGTAACTCATGGCACAGAAAGAAGGCAATTTAAATATGTCACAAAGAAAATCCAATAATGATGAGAATGCAGTCTTAGAGACCTGAAGGTTTAGAGGCATGGACTTTTTATTTACAAAGTGGTATCAGAAGAATTAGAAAGGCATCCGAAATGATGCAGCATAAAAGATGCAAGGATCTCACAATTAACTTTCATGGTGGAAAGGTCCAGGTTGAAACGCGCTGCTTGTTCAAACTTTTTGGGAGAGAACATGAAGGATCTTAGTTCTTAAAAATGCTTTCTGATAAATCATGTTTCCCATGTGACTCACCAAAACCATTGTCTGCTAAAGTTCCAAACATATCAGCATTTAACAGAGGTTTCCAAAGGCCAAAATGAGTCTCTTCAGTCACTAAATGAAGATTCGCTATCAGAACTCTCTTCTGCTTTCCCATCATCTCCCCAGGCAGGCACGGGGGCATCTGGGGTCCTGCAGGCAACAAAAATGTTCTGTGTTGTAAATCTTAGAAGAAGGCTGAGAACACATGCAACTTACCATGCAGTGCTAATGTCCTTCCATCACAACTGCACAGGCTAATAAACATTTAGCACATTAACTGTCTACAGTTTACAAACTCACACCATACTGATTCACTTACAACTTAAACAAGGAACCATAAATCACTGGACAACAAAACTCTGTAAACATCAGTTTGAATGCACACCTTTGAAGTTATCAGAAAGAATGACAGATCACTAAGAAGTGGCAAACACGAGTAGAAAGAGCAGAAAGCAGGCAACAGTGATTAATTCTTTTTCTTTTTTTTTTCTGCCTTCAGAGATTCTAGGGCTGAAGGGAACATGCTGTACACCATTAAGCAGTGTAAATAGTACATGAAAAAAAAAGACAGGAAATGAACAATACTGTATCCAACTAAAACTGCAGGGATAATTTAGAGAAGAAAAAAAGAATTACTCAGAGTGGAATTTGGCTAGAACATTGGGTTAAATTTGACATGCAAGAGCAGCCATGGGATTTTTATTGACTATAAATGATCAGACCTCTTGTATTTACTTTTTAAGAGACTATTTAAGATAGATCTAACAACATGTCAAAACATCAGCTCAGTGAATCTACTGGGAAAGGAGGGGAGAGAAGTAAACCATCTAAAGACTAACTAACACTACTGATTGAAGATGCTAGCTCTCCCCAGAGTCTCCCTCCTAACTATATAACGAGTTTGACAATAGAAGCAAGACTGAGCCTGGTAAATTCTGAAACCAGGGTAGAAAACAAAACCACAATTATACTTGGGGAAGGGGAAGAATGATCTTCACAGAAACTAGCTTCCAGGATGACAATTAACTACTCTCTTTTTGATAAAATACTACATTCTAAACTAAGCTGACAATTGCTTATTTGTCCTATTGTTATTTATCTAGGGTCTACCCCTGTGTGTCATGCCATAGAATTCATTTTCCAGCTTTAGTTATGTTTATTATAATTTCTCTGTTGGATATCCCTCAGGTACCTCTGAAGTACTTCTAAACATTTTGGGTGCAAAATAAGAAGTTGAAAGTGTATTAAAGAACTTTAAGAGAGCCTTCTCCCTCATCCCAGCACACCTCTAAAAAAAATTAAGAAAGCATTTGCTTTCTCATGCAAATACCACTTCACAATATTATTCCTTGTTGCCGCAGTAATGACAAAACAGAGGAGCTGTGCGAAGACATGTGATCTGGAGAGACCAGTGCAAAAACCCTCCTCTTGAAGAAGAGGAAGATAGCAATGAATTCCTTTAGTTTGTGAGAGCAGGACAAACTCTCCTGGAACTGTAGACAGGCAAGAGAGGAAGGATAGAAACATAAGTTAAAAATAGGTAAATTGGGAGCTTGATAAAATAAGCAGCTATAAAACTCTAAAATGTTGAGAAAGGAGTGATAACACAAGTAGAACAGCCAAAGGAAGAGAGTATAAATGACTCCATGTTATTAGAATTAGCACCTCTGCAGTCACAAAAAATCCACACTCAGTCACTGGCAAGTAGCTGGGAGAGTCTGCAGAAAGCAACTGAGCATACAGCAATAGGTACATTTTCCTAATTTTCCGTGGGACTCAGTAAGCAGAATTAAGGAATTCAAAGACTCCAAAAATGTGGAGTGAATTGCCAATATAAAGAAGAGTCTGATATTGAGACAAGAAAGCAAGAAAATTAGAAGAATGGTCACCCACTTCTGACTCCTTAAAATAGTATGCATTATGCAACTTCCCAAATAATTAACTTTCTTTAACCAGGCTGACTTCCTACGCAGTTTTTAAACCAGTAACATTTTATAGAAAATCTGCCTAAGCATTACTGTTGCACAGAATCTTTGAAGATGGACTTTGAGACCAAATACCAAACATATTCCATGAGCCCCAACCCACAGGAATAACGTTTCTATCCTAACCCAAAATGGACAATCCAAAAGTAGGTTCTTTTTTTGAAGAAGCTTCTGAATTTTTAACTTATTTTTATCTATTATAAAAATCCATCCCATTATGAAGAAGTATCAGTGGCTACAGAAAGGTATGGACAAGAAATGCACAGTAGAAATTACAGCACATTTAACACACACATAGTAAAACTGTGTTGGACAATCCTGATTCTTATTTGTGTTCTCTTTCTTTTTTCACATCTGATTAGTTAAAATATCAAATGAAGAATAACTACTTTAGGCTTACTTAGACACAAGGAAGTAGCCTGGAGTTTAAGTGACTCGACATATGATGATACTTCAGTTTCCCTACATATTTATTTATTTTATGAAACAAGTTGCTGGTTTCAGAATAAGCCTTTCCAAAATGTAAAAAAATGTCACTAGGAACGAGAAGTGGACTTTCTAATACACTGATGATTCCTGAAGAGGATGCAGAAGTGTTCCAAACAGTTTAGTGGCTATTAATGTAATAATGAAAGTTAGTATTTTCACAGTTTAACAAACTGTGAAACAGTACAGTAAAACTAAATTATATGTCAAATGTAAAATAAGCCTAAAATTCATGCTCATGACCAGATAAGTAACTTTGAAAATGAGTATCTACTCTTAATAGTTTTCACATCAGATTAACTCAATCAGCAGTCACAGTTTCGAACTGCTGACTTCAATTTACATTGTCAATGATCAAGTCAAGTTGTACACTCCATCTGCTGAGGGATTCAGGAAACAACTGTGCTGTCCCTTATGCATCCAGCAATATAAAAGAGAGTTTGTTCTTCTTACTCTACAATGATAACATTTTCTTACTGAAGTGTTCAAAGTATCTGGGAGAAAACCTCATACTCAGCACAGTGAAAATGCTACTGATGTATTATTTGGTTCCTCATCACTAACTGCACATTGTTAAATGTTACCTTGCCACTGCCATATCCTTTTCTTGAACCTCTGTCTTGGAAAAAGTTCTATCATATCCTCGAAGTCTGAATGGTAAAGTTCTGCAACTTTCTGTTTGTGAGGGTGCAGTAGTCACCCATTTATATTCCAGTCTTTGTATTTCCTGGGCCTTGCCTCAGACGAGACAACACTGAAAAGACAGCTCATACTTGAGGTTGCATCTCTCTTCCTTTGGTACTGATGGTCCTCTTCAGACCTATAAATTGCTAAAAATGCCTTTCACAGAAGAATTAGAAACCTGTTTTAATGCTGATAATTTATATTCACAATAGTATAAACAAGCTTTTCTAAGCAGACTTTTTCCCAAGCTTTTCAAGCACATGGTTGCATTCCAGCCCTACTGGAAGTTATAAATTACTTACTCTAGAAGATCTGGATTTAGGCCTTCAGAAATCATTTTGTTTCGTATTGCCATTACAGGAACACCCTGTATAGGGAGGAGGAGTAATGATATGAAATTACTGGACACAACAGGTAAACTAAATTCCAAAGGTTCTTCCAGACTACACATTCATACAAATTTATGGATGTCACTTGCTGAAAAAAAGCGTGGAATGATAATCTCAGTTGCCATCAGTATGAGCCTAGAAGCAAGAAATGACCAAGATCAGAAGCTCTTTTAATCCATCTTATATTTATGTCAGAATATCTAGAGGAAGTTGCAGGGACATTATCAGGAATGGACAGATATATTTGCAATTCATGCAGACAAAACTGAAGGTATGTGTATGGATGAGAATGTGAGGAAAGCATAAAGTAGCACTGAGATAGCAGAGAACAATTGTGCTAGAAAGACAAAGAAGACTTGGACACGCTGAATGTAAGCCAAAAAGGGAGGGAAACCAGGACAGTGGTTACTGCTCTGGACAAGTATCTTAAGACATTGCTAAAAACTGGAGAAGTCTTTAAAAAGCATGTGGAAAAAGGCAAACAGTACACAAGAACAGAAGCATAATTTAAAAGTGATTCCTCTGAATACAACTGCTTGTACAGTCAGGCTTGAATCTTCTATGACTTGTGGACAGATTTAAGCCAACTATGTACGTGTTAAAAAAATTTCATCCTTTCATTGCAAGTCCTTCCACAGCTTCTGCACTTTATTTTATTCAGCAACACCTAAAAATCCCCTCCTCTTGGACCGCAGATGCAAGAACACTTTGACCCACGTCATCTTGCGAGATACATTCCAACAAACTGCTCCTATGTTTCCACTGCAGTTGCTCAAGGACAGCTTGTTGCTTTGCCATATCCCTGTTGCAAACCATCAGAAATACTACCTGGATAACTACATGCCAAGACAGGACGAAAGGAAAAATAACATAGGGGATACAATTTCTGATTTCAGGGGACAAAGCTACTGGTGGTCTAGGAAAGTCACAAGAGGCCTCACAGTCTAAAAGAAAAGGAGTGCAAGATTCTTTTGGCACAAGACAAATATCTTATGTCCAAAGTAAGTAAAACAGTGATAAAATAAAGGGCAGCCACAACTAATGATCCAGAGAAGCATGTGGTACTAGCGACAGCTGCAGTAGCTAACCTGGCAAAGTGAGAGTAAGCTAGCTGTCTTACTGTGCTTTTCTCATGCAGTTTCACAGTAAGAACCACAGTCAAGACTTGTGCATGAAGATTCTGGAATAGCACACAGGTACATGGTTTTAGTAATTTATAGGCATATCATCAAAAATGTGACTCAAACAGTTGCAAGGTATTAGACTGTAATAAAGAATTTCTCAGTAATTCACAACTAATTTACATTACAAAGGGGAACGCACTGCAGTATTTCATGGCAGTTTAAAATTATTCACTTATTTTAGTATAGATTTGGACACCAGAGATTGCATGTATAAACAACATCTTCTACTACCTAATGGTTTTCCCCTTACTTGACTGCTCTTAGGGGTCCTTTCCACAGCTCAGAAGTCACTGATGAAGTATTTATGCATCAATTCAAACCAAGTGAAAACAAGATTGAGTCAAATCAGGCAAAGCAGAATTGGTATTCACTTTCAATGAAAGGGAGCTTGGTATATGAACTTGTAAAAATGGACTGGAAACTGTTATATTTTCACAAATTATACCTGGGGAAGTGTTTTATTCCAAAACTGTGTGCACCAATATATGTAAAAAAGAAACCCATCTTGGTACTCTCATATAGTCACAGATTCACTAAACATATCTAGAGTTTAATCAGAATGTCCTTTAACAGTGCACTTTTTTTTCCTGAATGAAAACAAATAAGATTGTACCTGAATTTGTTTATAATACAATTAGGAGATTATAATTACTTTATCTTTCATACTTTCAGAAGTTTAAATCCAGAAAATCACAGCCTAATACTGCTGTGACCCTAAATCTTACTAAAATAAAACAGACAACTATTTTAAACCTAAACCACAACCACCCTGAGCATACAGGCCCACTGAAATGGCACAGGTGTACTTTTCTAACATAGAAGCCAGTGCTGAATTTCCATCGCATTTGTCTCTGCCCAGATAAGATCTGAAATAATCCAAATCACTACACATTCAACACAATGTATCCCAGCCCTACTCTCAACCTGGTCCTGCAGCTTAGGAGATGCAGAAGCCACAGTGCAAGCAGCAATCTTGTGGCAAAATAGGTTTTGGTTCTCCATAGTGCAGAAGGAGGTCACATATCATCACTGCAGGCAATTCCTGGCAATCATGCACTCTCCATGTTTGTTTTTTATTTCAGTCCTTTAACGAAAGGATCAATCTATATCAGGCCAGTCTTGGAATCTGTGCAGTCATGTTTGATGTTTGGAATCAAGTAAAAGTATTTGTACTCCAAACATAAGTTCATCTGAAATCGCAGATTGCTCCTATCACACTCCCAGTAGAAGTGTTCTGAACATTTGTTGTAGCAAATCTGATACTGTTTTTGTAAGGTTTGCTTGAATATTATTGTTGTGTATTTAAAAAAAATACATGAATTAAATATGCTCATCTGTACTCCATCAAAATGTGTATGTTATTATTTCACAGACAAGCTATATTTAATGTAAAAGAACTATCTCTCCATGGTGCTAATTCTTAAATACTATAAATACTGTAAGAAATAAATAAATGATCAGTTTAAACAAAGCTTCAGCTAGTAACTTAATTTGGGCAAATAAATGAATTGAAATACTTGACTGGACAAAAAGACCAATTTGGCAAATACAAAAGCCCACGTTAGTTTGTAGTATGTTAGTTTGACTTTCCTACCACACTGTTTACAACTGGCAGAGGAGTCACAAGGAACTGCCAGTACAAAGGATAAATTGGGAAGGTGAGATCTGACTCCTCTAGCAGTCACCAATAAAGAAAAGTCAGAGTAATTAGACCATCAAGCATTTTCATATCCACTTTGAAGTCTGGCATTAAATCAATATACTAACATAGTATCTACTCTCTGCTACTACCCCACTGGTAGGTTTTCCAAATGTTTTGTAATAAGCTACCCACAAAGTGCCAATTTGTGATTCAAATGAAGAATAAGGTCTGGAACATCAGCCAAAGTATCAAACACACCAATTGTAATAATTACTCTGAAGAGGGAGTGCAACTGTGAAGTTAGTTTTAACACAAGCAACATCTTACAATGAAGCAGTCATATTGTCTAGAATCTCTATATATATTTTAGAGGAAATATATATTATTTTAGAGCAAATTTTCCATTGACAGCTTGAAAATACAGATTATTTTGTTTCCAAACAAATTTTTAATTTTATGAATGTGAAAAAAAAATCACCAAGAGTCTCCCATTCACTTTTTCTCACCTTTGCTAGTTTTCACGCATGTAAATATTGGGATTAAACACATTTATTTCCTATTTACCTATAGAATAGCTCACAGATAAAGAGACAAACAAAACTTGCATCATGAATAACAGGAAAGTGAAGTGGAATGAAGTAGTGAAGCAATTCTTTTCTCTATTTTGAACCCTACAGAAATATCAAATATTTCTGCTCTGGACTATACTAGCAAACCTGCATTTTGCACCCTACAGCAAAACCAAACTGTAATCATGTCTGTGTATAGGGAATGACACTAATTCTGCCAGAATAACTACACTTTCAGTGGCAACTCCTGTGACTCCAGCTAATATCATTCTGCATTTACACATATTCACACTGTTGACAATTACACTGGCAGAATTCTGTAGAAATATCTTGCGTGAAGCTGGCTGATGGAATGTATCATATCAACTCACTTATTAAAGAAGATGTGCTAGAAATATTGTGATGTCATCATAGCTTAAAGATTACTGTTGCAATATATTTACAGACATTTCCAGACATTTAATGTTTACTTACAGCTGTATATAAAATATACTCCACCTAAAAATAATGGGAGTACTCAAAGAATGATAAAAGAACTGACTTACCACTTGTACCATTTTAAGATATCTGGCGTATCTTGGATCCTTGGCCACAGTTCTGACATTTTCTGTTACTGCCTCCATTTTCTGTAACCTTTCTTCATGTATATTGTTCTGCTGTACGTAAAAAAGATAACACCTTAATATAGTTAGGTATGCAGACCTGAAGCATGCAGAGATCTCAATCCATGAAATTTGTAATTTAAGGATAAACTGTAACGCTTCTTCATCAAGACTATTCTCATCTACAGTCATTAGTGAAAAACATAGTTCTAGATCTTTACAGCTGACTGATCTCTTCCAATAGACCTGTTTTTTCCACCTATTTCAAATGACACTAGAAACTTGACACAGGGAGGTATATTCCTTCAGTGTTAGTTATGATTTATTACTTACTCCAGATTGAGGTGATACATCTGTCTGTTGATCTGTAGTAGCTTGTGCCACAGGACCATTTGTAACACTGTTCATATTTGCATTGGACACTTCAAATTTCACATCTTCTAGGCCAGGAATAGAGGACAACTGAATGTACAAAACATCATCAAGTAAGCAATAGCATATTGTAAGTCTACATGTACAATAAAATCTGCAGTATGCTGCTGATTACATATTCCCCAGGTAGGTTTCACATTAGTAAAAAGGTAACTTTTTATCACTGGTTTTGGTATTCTAACTGGCAAAAAACAACAAAAAAAAAGATTTTTCTATTCAGGTGGCTTCTACAACAAAAAAAACCCAGAAGATGCCATTGGAGCTCTCACTGCTAACACAGAGATGCAGTGCAGGAAAGGCTTCAACCTCTTCCCAGTATTTTGCTCCTCCACTTACCAACCACACCAGAGCTGTGCCATCTTTTCTGCTACTTCATCTACAGTGAAAGACATCATGACAAGAACAGCTCTATTACTTAACAGATCGGTCACTGGTTACAGATTTTGCAATTTTCTACATCTTTCACTCTCTTTTAAGGAATCACTGAGAGTGGATATTAAATATGCCACATATCTATTTGAAGGAACTTCTAATTAGTATGATTATGAAGAATTCTGCTATAATTATTAATAGTGATAATTCCTAAATACTCTGAAATAAACTAGTTAGTAAGCACTGTTTGTACTATTACAGTATTTCATTCACAAAGATCTTAACGAATGGTTTCAAGTTGTCCTACCCCTGCTCCCAGAACAGCCAACCAAAACAAACAAATTGAAAGAAAGACTGGTTAAAACTTTACGAGGGGTGTTCTTTTTTAATCTTTCTTTTTTTCTTGTAGCAAATTAAATGACAATATATGACTACAGATTATATCCTTTTCTCATTTTAGCTAAAGAAGATGCATCAGGCATATTTGTGCTAGCTTGGATCCAATTCAGGTCACATTTCAGTATCAAAATGTTTACAAGGCGTCTCCGTAGTAACTTATACCAGCTGAAATCCTTAGAGTCCAGTAACACTTACAAAGATACTTTAGTTTTGCAAAGGGGGCAAAAATTTCTTATTAGAGTTTGCATGGCAAATGCTATTTCATAATGCAACCCTGCCACATGTTCAATATTTTAATATCAAGAAACTTCTCTCCATTTTAAGACCAAGCACTGCAATAAAATCAAGATAACTAAGCTGCTGCATAGTTCAGCTGCCCTTTCAAGATCGAAGATCTCTTTTCCTGTTCGTTATGTTCATTATACTCATATATTCATATGTACATTATTGAAAACATTTCCACTATGTGCTGCTGGTTCCTTTCTTCCGTATCAACTACATGCCTTGGGTGACATGGTTTAGCATGAGGCGTCCCTGCCCATGGCAGGGGGGCTGGAACTAGATGATCTTCAGGTCTTTCCAACCCTAACTATTCTATGATTCTATATTCGAATGTAACACAATGTAAGCAGCAAGGCACGCAAAGAGAGAGTTTGCTATGTGAGCATTTCATATTAGCACCTTCAAATCAGTATGAAAACTTATTTGCTCAATTCAGACTATGAAAAGGAAGCTAGTTCATGTAGTCTAGGAGGCTGTCACTGTTAGGAAACAAAGTCTGTGTACATACAAACCTTAGCATCCAAAATATTGAGTGTTGTTTCAATTTGTTGGATACGGAGGGAGAGTGCTGACAATTTCTAGAACAGAAAAGAAATAGTACGTGAAAGACTCCCTTAGGCACTTGTACCTATAAACCAGTTCACCTAAATAAAATCACTTGAGTCTCCCACCTGCTGAAGGCAGAGTAGAATGTAAATGAAATAACGTTACGAAATGAGTGCAGCAATGACATCCCTTTTTAGTACAGTAGCTACAGTGATTCAAATTTTAAATTATTTTACTAGGCAGTTAGTTTTGCCAGATAATGACCGACAGATATGAAGACAGACGATGTACAAAAGAAAGCCAAAGTAAATAGGGTATTACTTTGGGCAACTGGAGAATAAAAGTAGACTCTTGCAGTTACCGAAACTGCTTTCTTCCAAGCTTTTTCCAAATGTGGAAGATGAAAAGATATGAAGTGTGTGTACATTACTGAGCAAATGCAAAATAGAAACATCTGATAAAGAATACAGCAGGTGATTCAAAGTCCTATACAGTCAAAACACACAGTGAACCAGTACTAACCAGAAGCTTTATATGCTCCAGGTGCACCTCAGTCAGATTTTGACTTCTTTTTTTTTTCTTTTTTTTATAAATACAACCTAGGTTTCTCTGAACTATTCTGTAAGAACTGTCACTCTTTTAACTAATCACTACCATACTCCAACAGACCTGTCCAAGTGAAGCTGGCTAGCGTGCTGGCTGGCAGATATATACCACTCTGACAGCTTTCTGGCAAGTTGGCAAGACTCTGCCTGGCTCTGAAGCAGAACTTTAACACCCTAAGAAAATGGCAGTTTCTGCCAACATGCTAGAAAAAGTAAAAAGAGACTGACAGGAGTTAGTCTTTTTGGATAGCACACTGACTTGTTTACAGATGGTTCTTTGTTCGTGAGAGGAGTTAGTTCCTGTTGAAAAGAACTATGTGCTCTACATGTAGCTGGGGAAAGGGGAGGAAAGATGTACAAAAGACAGTTATATAACTTTACAGGTCAGTTTGACTAGACAAGAGCCAAGAAATTTAGAGTTAAGGATGGTGTCAGCCCTAATTTTGAATTTCTTGGCTTCTGTTGATTTACACTGGGCCCTTTCACATTGAAAACACTCCTGTACTCCATAATAAAATACATTCATAGAAATACATTCATAAAAACTCATACAAAAAAAAATTTCAAGAAGTTTATAAAGCAACTAACTCTTTAGTTTTCTTGGGTAAGTACATATTTAGGTTAATTAATAACCATTCTATTAAGCAGACTTCACAGCGTCTCTGTGTGCTCAAGATGGCTTTAAATACACATGTTCTGATTTCCACAGTGCCTATGTAAGAGGTAATATTCAGATCAAGTGATGACTGAGTTTTGGACAACTGACAACAGCATCATCAGGCAGTCACACTGCCCCACGTATCAAGTTAAAATAAGTTTAAGAATTTAGAAATTACTCTTGTTCCTCTGAAGCTCCATATTTTGATGTGGTAGCAAAATTTCATACTTGTCATCACGGGTCTGGCTCTAAACCTCACTAACAAATAAGAGAAATTCTCAGATTACAGGGTTTAGTCCAATTGCATTTGACAGCTGCCCCAGCCCTGCTGGCTAGGCTGTATAGCAGTCTTTGTGGAATAAAGTAGTGAACAGTTACAAAATAACCACTAGTGATAAAAAAGTTAAGCTTAAAGCCACATTAGAACACACCCTTCCTACAAGGGAGGAATCACTTTTGTCCCCTTCAGTGGACAATTCCAGTCCTGTCAGTCTGCTGTATTTCTATTGACTCTAAAATCACCAAAACCCCTTATTAACACTAAGTATCTTTGGTTTTCTTTTTTACAAGATACTAAAATTAAGTGCTTCATGTTCCGTATGAATCGTTTGCCAAAATTTTTTTTTCTTTTTTTTTTTTACAGTCAGAGCTTAGTGTGTCACCTTTTAAAATTAAAGGTGGTAAAATCTGAAAGTGAGTTTTGATGCAATACCCAAGGACTCAGATGAGAGGGATACTGACTGTCAAAATGGATTCAGCACCATGGGAAGATGGCAACCTTCTTCCGAAACAAGATGATATCCACAGATGGAGCTGCTTCAGAACAAATTCCAGGTATCAAAAAGTTCAAAGACCATGCCAAACATAAAAGTCTAAGGAAACAACAGGATTAAGTGTGGTAGAATCAGCAGCTAATGTGGATATCTTGGGGAAAAAAAAATCTTACTTGAGAGAAACCTTGAACAGAAAGCAGACTACATTTTTTTGATTTAAGCTACCAGTATTTCTGCATCAAAAATATTTTTTATTTTTCATTGTATAAAGTGACAGCTGGGAAAATGATAAACATACCTCTTCACAAACAGTAGAAAAGCGGTTGAGAAACTGCACTGTGTGAACCACAAACTGGTTTAGAAATGCTACAGTTCTTTTCTGCTGAATAGCAGGAACCTGCATTAAATAACAAGAAAATTATATCACACACAGACGTCAGTTCTCACATATGGATTCAAAGATCTGTTAAAAATGCACTTTTTAAAAGAAATTATGCTAGAAACCTGCCTCATGTACTTCTCATGAATGATATATAAAAACAATTTTTTAGTATCTGTACGTATACATGCATACAAATGTTATAAGGGCTGTCTCATTTAAGAAAATAATTTTAAATGGAATTGTGAACATTGCTGAAAATCAGTGTTAAAACTTAAAAAAACAAAGAGGAAATCAGAATCTTTCCTTCTAAAGCTTCAAAAGGAAGAGCAAACTTGGTCATCCATACAAATACTCAACAAAGGTGGTTACACCACCACCATAATCAAAAATAAAGAGTACTGAAATTGCCATCTGTCTCTAGTGACTCCCCATACTTTTTCTTATTTACAATCCCAGACCATCCTAAAATTACACTTTATTGTCACTCCTCCAAGTCAGACCAGATGCAGATGTATTTTCAGACTAAAAGATAGAATGTTATGTCGGAAAGAAAAAAAAAGAAAAAAGTCTGGTGCTCATAGTGTAACAGATAGCTTTTTCATTTAAACCTTTATACAAAACTGTAATCAGGAACATTCACACAAATGTTTATATATAATGTTATAGTGCCTCAGGGTTAATTACCTTGGATGACTGTTTAAGTCTTAAACTTTACACAGGAAATTACCCTATGGAATCATAGTTGGTTAAAGTGAAGGACTTAGAAAGAAAAATGATTTTCATCCAAGTTGCAGCTGCACTGAACAAGTCTGTGAATAGAGCAACTTTCTGGTCTTCACCTCTTCTTTAGTCTGCCATTTACCATGGGAGACATTCACTACACTTTGATAGTCTTAAGATATCCTGACCTTTTGTGAGCCTTTTGTCGCTGCTATCTCAAGTTTTCAGTCTGTACACCTGCATGGTCGGGTCTGCTAAAGTTTACTTCTGTAGTTCCAAACCTGTCAAGCAGTGCTTGCAAACTTATGACATTTATGAGACAGCACAAAGATGTAAGGATCACTGTTCTATCTTTATGTTCTGTACTTAAGAAACAAATGGTTTTACATCATTAAAGGACACGAATAGGTAGCTTTGCGCCTATTTGCCTCAAAAGAATGTGGCTCACAGTTCTGAGACTGAACAGCTTTGCCTTTGCATGCATGGCTATCGCAAACCAGCAGCAAAACGCCTTTGGAAACCATTAATACCGCGTTCCTGGGGAGACCGCTTAAACCAAGACCCCGCTGCGAGAGCTGTGCCCCTGGTGCAGTGGCAGCAGCGGGGCTGCACGGCGGGGCAGCCCCAGCACACCGTCTAAAGCAGCCCTCATTGCCCGTAACCGCTGAGCGCCCCGGCTGCCCCAGGGTGCCTGGGAGGTCTTCAAGGCCGCGGCCGGGCCGGGCCGGGCCGGGCCAGGCAGCGGAGGCCGGGGAAAGCAGACGAGGCTCGCCCAGCACCAGGGCCAGCGCAGCCGCCGCCAGGGCAGGAAGCAGGACAGCTCCGGACCCCCGGGCGACCGCAGCCCGTACCTTGGTAAGGTCAATGCCGGAGCCCACAATGGGCAGCCCGTCCTCGTCCATCCCCGCGGCCCCGCACTCGCCGACCGCCTCCCGCCGCACCCCGGAACTCCCTAGCGCTCCCAACGCGACCTCTTGAGCTTGGCCCGGAAACAAAAACTCCACTCCAAGGCGCTCCGCATGCGCAGTCTCCTCTCCCACGGCAAGGCATCGCGGGAAGTGTAGTCCGCGGGAGGGAGGCAGCTGGAGGGCGGAGACTCAACTCACCGTGCGACCCGGCCGGGCGGAGCAGGGAGCAGGGCGTTGTGGGCAGGTGCTCCCGGGGTACAAATGCACCGCTTTTACCTAAACTAGGTAAAAGGCCAGTGAATAAACTGTTTCCGTGCGCACGTGCATAATTTGAGTGGTGAATGAAGGGCAATGCTTTCAATACAGGGAATAAAAATAATGAGCATCGAATGACCATGGGATCCAGTGAAGAAGAAGCATGCCTGTAATCACGTTAGAAAGGACTCCTGTACCTTATGCAAAATGGGGAAAGAGGTGTATAGCTGTGACCTGTCTAACGTTTCTGTTTTGTTCAGCAGTACCCACCACTGGTTTCACTTGTTTCTTGGTACTTCTGTTTCCAGAAAAGGAACCTCAGAGGTACCAGGCTCCAAGGAAATAAGGACTAGACCTCAGGTTTCCAGATTTTCCTCCGGAAGGATTCTGTAAAATAACCAACCTGTTGGGTGGGATTTTTTTGTATGTTTGTTGGGTTTGGGGTTATTTTTTTTCCTATCTTCAGTGGTTGCTTGTATTATCTTCTCTTTACAACAGGGTCAAAGGACTGATCAGACCATTTAGAAATGGGGCCCAATACAAAGGTTGGGTTGAACCCCTCTAACAGGTTGCATCATCAGAAAGGGTTTCCCATCTCCCTTTCTTGCTCCCCACTGATGGCTTCATGCACTCATTTTACCATGTATCAGTTAAAGCACACAATGATCCCTTCCTTAAGGCATTTCACATTGCCACTTTGGCAGAGAACTAGTGTTGGAGGAGGGTGTTTTCTGCTTGGTTCATGAGTTGAATCAGATCAGCCAAAGTGTACATTGAACACCAGAGTCTGGTGAGCAGGGTTACCTGGCTTTGGCAGGAAAAATACAGGTAACTGCTACCTCATGCAACTTTACTGTGACATTTCAGAACTGTGCCAGAAATATTCTTTTTGGACACGTATCTGTCTGGCTTTGAGCAACTTGATCTAGTCAGAGGTGTCCCTGCCCATGGCAGGGGTTGGAACTAGATGGCCTTTAAGGTCTGTGCCAATCCAAGCCATTCTCTGATTCTGTAATCTAAACACTACTACATTTAATAAAAAAATATGTCTAAAGCTGTTAGAATCTAGCATAGTCTGAGGCTATTGGTAGGAAGCTTCTCATGTGATGAGATGAATAAAGGTGCACTAATTATTTTAATACCTTGAAGATAAGCACCCAAATGTGCTATGCTAATTTTCATTTAAAAGCTAACAAAACTGTTTACTTCCAAATTATTACAGCTAAGTATTCTACACATAGACAGAATCCATGATAACAGTGCTTGAATCTTTTACTTATTTACATAGAATTCTCATTTATGTACTGAAACAGCTTTTCCTTGATTTTATATTTATTACTTTCACAATGTATTTATTACTAACCTGCTGTCATATGCACAACATTATTACTCTCTTGCTGAAATACTATAGCCAGGTCTTTTGCTTATACTGTTTGAATTACTGAACAACCTGTGTTTCATACTGTTTTGGAACAATAACATGTAGTTGGCCGTTTCTCACATCTCCCAAAAGATGGACAGGGGTTAGTCTACCCCTAGTTCAGCAGGTTTAACCTATCTTCTAGTAATTGTACAAATTTTTGTTGGGCAAAGGGGGTGTTTGTTTAAATTATCTAAGTGATTTATATTGCCACCTTAATTACCTCTAAACTTCCTTCCCTAAGTTATATCCGAGAAGAATTCATCCTATTTACCGTAAAATGTCCATAATACAAGTTTTCCAGGCAACACCACAGAAATTTAATGATGTAAAGGCTTAGTCAAATCTTATCTGAATCTAGTGGTCTGTAAAGCTGGACAAGAAATCTCACAAGAGTATGCTCGTCTGTGAACTTTCTGGTACATTCTGCTTTTAATTTGGCCAAAAATACTGCATAGAGAGATGCAACACAGCACTTTTTCTCCCAGCTGGAATTAGGAAATCCAGGGCATGACAAGTGAAAAACAGAGGAAAATGATCTAAATCTTTCCAAAACCCTTAAAAATGTTTTAATTGAACTGGTTAAACTAGAACTATTAATGACTTATACCCCAATGAAAGGATTTATAAAAAAAAATTATTGAGTGATAATATCCAGATTTAATGTGTATCATTTGAAGAAGTATTTTGTACCAGTATCCTGTATACACGTACGGGATGATAAATGTCAAAGTAAGGACATAAATACTGCAGTATGTAACTGCTGGCTGTTCAGTTGAACACTAGTATTTTGAAAATGTTAACCTTTCAGGATGCTGAGGCTAACTTGGAGTGCAAAAGCTAACTGTATTACAGAAAACTGATCAAAGCTTTGTCTTCATCATTAGTAAGAAATATTTTGTCTTGTGATTAGTGTACACTAAAAAGTAAACCAACAGCCCAGGTTTCAAAGCACTGCAAGTGATCTACTACATATATTTTTATATTGCACAAAATCAGAGCCTCTAGTCAACTGCAGAAGAAAACTGCACAGGCCGAAATAAACCTGGCAAGTGCTACTGTAGCTTAAAATGTCTATGCATTTTGCATGCTTATATACTGTTACAGGTCCCAAGACATAGTATTCTGTTAGAATCAGTACAGAACTCAAATAGCTATACAACTGAGAGGCAAGTTAAACAGAAACAAGAAGCTGATCCAAAAAATTTCCAGACATGGTGTCACCTGATCCTCCATAGGGGCAACAGTTGTTTTTACTAAGGTGGTCCAATGAACAGCTGAAAAGGTCAGAATGTGGATTAACATTTTTTTGATTTCCCATGGAGTCTTCTAAATCCATGCTTGCAAAGGGTATTCTAGTAAAGCTTTCTATATGAAACTGATACTGCCTCAATGATTCTTCCCTCAACTGAATTAAAAAGTCTATCTCAGTAATCTAAGTATGTCAGAATATGTACAAATTTAGCAAACAGAAGGTTCAAAGAATTACAGTCCTTGACAGTTAAATAGACTGAGCAATAGAAATGTCAGGTGTTATGTGGGTTCTTTTAAAAAATAAAACTGAAATTAAATGATAAATGATTTGCAGTTCTCTGTAAATGGCTCTTCAAGTTTCAGTTTTCCAGGTGCTATGCTAAGGCAACATCAGAGGATTTTGTGCTGCATGGAAGGACATGGGGAACATGCTAAAAACATCATTTTATGTTTTCTGCATTTGTTTTGGTTTTTTTTTCCTCCTTAATACCCATTTTATATTGGAAAGAAGTAATACAAAGAACCTTGAACTTGGCAAGATCATTCCATTCTTGGTAAATAGTTTTAAGTAGTCTTTAAAAACAAGAGTATTAAAAATAAGCATTCTGGCTTCTGAATTAACTACAGAACAAATGAGTTTCTGCCCTCTGCCCCCTTGGTTTTAAGCAATTCTAAATAAAAAGTCTTAGTCAGAATGCGCCTGCATGTACATGACACGTACTGCCCTTGTCCATATGGGTGCTGAGTATACTATATGATATTTTGCATAGCTAGGGACTATGTACAGCTTTGCTCTGAGTGTGGAGATTAAAAAATAAGTATGTTTCAGTTTCACTACACATTCAGAAGAATAACAGTGCTCCAGTCCAATCCTTCCTGTCGGACACACAAAGATTTTTAGCTGTGTCTGTGAGCCAATTAAACTTACCATTAAAGCTCTACTATGGTCAAAATATGGACATGAGATGAACTAAGTGCTGCATCTTGAAGCATCCTCCAGTAAGTACACACCAGTCAAGACTGCAACCTATGAGGCACTTTATTCTTCTTTAAGGTAAATTTTGTGGCAGTTGGAAAGGAAAATTTCTCTAGGATATGAAATGATGAGAAATAAAATATGACTTACTTTTTAAAAAGTGACTGTAATCTCACTTTTTGCTGTCCTAATTCTTAATTGGTCCAGCATAAATAGGGACAAACAAGAGAATATTTTGAGATCTATGTACTGCTAGCTAATATCGATGGTGACAGTGGTGTAAGGAGCTGTTACACTAGCTGAACATCTCTGTATCATTTCCCTTGCAGAAGCAAGTAAAAAGGATACTGGAGACAGAAGCTGTATGTCTTTTACTCTTTCCTCTTTTATTTCATTTCTGGGTCTTGTATAGAAGGGATAAGAAAAACATGCCTCTAGAAAGCAGAATGTCTTTGATTTTCTAGTAGAAGGCTGGAAGTAAAAGACTGTAAAGAGAAAAAAACCTACACACCGTTTGGGATACTTAAAAGTAAATCACTTTGTCATCTTAAGAAAAATGATACTTCTTAAAATTATCATTCTGATTATACCATTAGTTTCTTCACTAATGGTACCACGATTATTTAGCAAATACATTCACAGACAGTACATTATAGCATTTCTTTCTTATATGATAGTCATCGTTGGGCAGTTTGATACAGAGACAGGTGTTCTTCCTGTAGGTACTCAGGACAATTTAAAAGAGGTTGAGCTGTGTTACCTGATCAAAACTGCAGACTGAGATTGCTGGATACAAAATCTCTTGAAGCAAAATAGTTTTAAAAAAGTCATTTCACACCAAAAGCCATGTTAAAAAAGTGTACATTTTATTTTAAGGGAAATATCAGATGTATGATAACCGATTTTACAAAAGCTCTTGTATTTGCAAGCTAAAAATCAAACACAAATGTTTCATATTTTACTTGCTCCTTTCTCGTATTCTCCAGGTGGATAAATACCAGTACAAACCGTAAATTCCTTTGTTTCAGTCGAAAAGAGGCATGATGCTATAAAGCTTCATACTAAAGGTAAATACTTATTTTACATTTCAGATACCCAGAACAAAATTTTGTGATCTCCTCCGACTGCACATAATGGAAGAGTTCTATGCCATGTCAAACCAGATCCTACAGCTGCAGTG